GCCCCGCCGCGCAGGTAACGCGGGGCGGGCGCGGGGTTCCGCGGGGTGGGCGCAGTGTCCCCGGCGTGGGCGCAGTGTCCCCGGCGTCGCCGCCGCCGCGCAGGGTGCCGGGGTTTCAGCGACGGGCGTTGGGCACGGGGAGGGCAGCGGGGTTGCGTGGCGCTCGCCGCTCTGCGGGAGCCCTCCCAAGGAGAGAATCGCAGCCCCCTCTGTTGCGTTATAATATTATTGCCACAAAACCTGCTTTTAAATGTATTTTTATTTTTAAATATACACTTCTTCCATGCAAATGGTGTCTTTTAGATAGTTGCATTAGTGTATATGTTTTGCTCTAAAAATGTTACTCTGAATGGTGATTTCTTCTAAAAAAAATTTAACTCCCATTTTCTTGTTCTGTAAGACTCCAAACCCACAAATACATCCAAGTGCTTTTTTGTTTATAAACAGTAATCCTAGTTTTAATGTGATCCTAGAGATGTTGATAGGGGGCATCATTTGCAATCAGTAGATGCAAGAACAAACACATTCTAGATCAGAGTGAGTGCTTTTGGCAAGTATTAATCCTTAGTCTTTGCCAGATCCTGGCCTTTAAATGGAAAAAAAAATACAACCCAGTAAGTTATATAAGACTGAGGAACTGTTTTGCCAGTCTTGCCATTCATCCCTTGTTTGAGTGCCTCCTTTTTCCCCTTTTCCGCTATGGGTGGAAGAGCTCATGGATCCTGATCTGTTCCGTAATGCTGGCCTTGCCCAAGAGCAGCTGGAAAATCCTTTCTCAACTCCCTTCTTGAGCTGCCCCTCTGAAGAGGAGCCTCCACCAGCAGCTACAATTATCCCTTCAGATAAAGGATAAATTCCACTGTAAAAAGTAACCTGACTTTCAATTTATTCTTATTATGTGTCTTTAATGTACCTAATATCTCTAATGTACCTCCCATGATAAGCAGAGCTGGTAGATAAGCTTGCCCTGCCAGTTGGCTTTCTTAACACATTCAAGTGTCAGACCCTGCTTTCTGTTGCTTTCTACTCTGCCAAACTCGGTGCACTGGCCTGAAAATTGCAGCTGTTGGACTCAGCACATTCAGCACACGGCATTTCAGCACAAAGGGTGCTAGCCATTTTGAAACAGAAAATTTGAAATAACTTCTAATATCGTCATTCTTTTGGACGAGAAAATCTTAATTTCAGTGGAAGACTTATTGGTTTTTCTCTTTAATGCGTTTGATTAGGCATAGTTTGCTCTGCTGCTGTAACTTTCTCACAGGGAATACAACATACATTTGCTGTGTATGTTTTTCATTAAAAATGTTATATTTATTTGTTTTCACTGTTACTAAAGTTAGGCAACACATCAGTTACATGATTAGGTAAGAACACTTAAATTGATGGTAATAACCATGGAAATGCGAGCTGCTGCTTCTGAAGAAAAATATATGAAGAGCTGTGTGACATCTAAAAGCAATGGGCATTATAAGTGTATAATCTGATCTCTGCTAGGATTTATAACCCTATTACACTGAGTACAGTGTGCTATTTTAGAGCTCTATCAAATGATGTTTTAATTAAACTGTAGAGGAAAAGAAAATAAAGACTTGTCTCCTGTCTAATTTGATTTATTAGTGGAAAAGGTAACAGATACTAATTGTTCCTGGAGTGATTCAGTTACAGTGGGAGGGAGGGTGCTATATGAAAGGAAGAACTTCAGTGAAAAATAGAAGACAGGAAGAAACTTTCACCCTGGTTCATAAACTGCTCACGCTGCAGCTTGCTTGGAAAACACTGCAATAACACCCAAGTCTGACCTTTGGCTCTGCAAGAGCTTTTCCTCAGGCTCCTGTGAGGGAAACATTCCCACTGAGGTCAACGTGTATGGACACGAATGGCCTACGGGCTGCTCCAAGCAACTCCGAAGCCGAGTGGTGCTGTAGGCAATCGCATGGACTTCCATCTGCGCTTAGGGGTGAAGATAAAGCTATTGTCACCTGCTTGGGTTGCCTAGAGCCAGATGGGATTAAGGCCTTGCTCTTTGAAAGACCATCTAGGATTGTCCTAGTTTGCTCGGAAGAGAGGAACTTCGTTGTTCTGCTAGAGCACCTTCCCCTTTTAAAGGAGGGGAATTACCTGATTTTGAGATAGTCTTATAATTCTGGCTATCGGGACAATGATATGTAGGAATTTAGTAGATGTCGCATTATTACACTCTTTTAACCAAAATCAGTGATGTAGTAACAGTAATGAGCAACATTTGTCCCATATTTTGCATGGTGTAGCTATTAAAAAAAAGAAAAAAGGAACAAATGGAAGCAGTAATTTAGGATTATGCTAATAATATCCAAAATTTCAGATTATAGTGCTTCGTTTATGCTTTTTAAAAAATTGATTAGTGGTGTGGTGGAAGCAAGAATTTTAGTTTGCTGTGACACTCAGTGTACCATGAAATTGCATTTATAGCATCAGTTGATATCCTTATAAGTATTTTTTAAAAATCAGATATAAACAGGAACACATACACAGATACTTATTTATTTGCATTCATCCTACTACTTTGAGTCCAACTTTTACTTTCCAAGCACATTCTTGACGGAATTCATTACGCTTGACACTGCCTGCAAATATTTCACTAACTAGAACTCTTACTGTCTTTAACTCAGCATCAGTCATTTCAGTTTCTCCAGATTAGTCTTGGATTTTGGTGTCCTCCTCTATTGCTGAATGAGGCTTTTTTTTTTTTTTTAAGCTATCATTAAGGTTTTCTCCAGATTCAGATCAGTGACTTAATCTACTATCAGTTTTGTGATTTTTGAAACTGAAGGCTACTTTGATGTCCAAAAATGCTTTTATGCCAGTTGTATTTACACTTACTACAAAAAGGCATGTCATTAGAGCATTAACATATCTAGTTCCTTTTGTAACAAAGAAGGACTTCAATATATTTTTAAGTAAAAGAGGTCACGTATAATACTACAGAATCCTCAAATTTTCCAATAAGAAATATTTAAAAACTTTTCTAACTTGTTTGTTAATATTCTTGTTTCACAGTTCCTGAATGTTATGCTGGTGGGCATCAGATCCTGAAGAGTCCTTATCGAAGTGTGAATTTTGATTCATCTCACCTGCAGCAATCAGCTATTCAGGATTTAATATGTGACCATTCCCTAACACCAGGGTGGTACCGCTTTATGATTTTTGATAAGCCTGCTGAGATGCCAACCAAATGTGTGGAGGTAGGGTTGCACTTTATTTATTTATGATAAATAATAGTTACTTTTTCTTAAATCCTCAGTGAGGTAGGTATAACAAAATTAAACAATTATGGAGATTACATGTGAGATGCAAACCATCTTTGTCTTTGTAAATACAAAACTATCAAAAACTTTGAAAACATTGACAGTAAAAGCTTGCAAGTTATGTCTGAAAAACTTAAATTTAAGGGACTAATGGACTAGAAGAGAGGATAATAAATTATATTATTTTTAGACGACTCAAAAATCATTATTTCTAGTCACTGCTAAAAACAGTGTTTCTCAGCGCTAGCTTAGAAGCAACGGCCACAACTAAAAACCACAACTGTATCATCACAATTAGTCTGTTACTAAGGACATGTAAAAGCAATATAGGGACTGGTAGCCACATGATGCCAATAATTGTGGAGCTTTTAAAGTGGTCATGTAAGAGAGGAGGGATTCATCATAAAATGGTTTGAACTCACAAAGCTAACTAAAGATTAGTTTTCTTGTCACTTGCAAGACTCAAAAGAGTCCCTTAAGACTCAAAAATTACTTGGTATATTTAATACCTTTGATTTGTAATGCTTGATTTTTTGGAGGTTCTTCAACAGCTCTGTAATAGCTATATTTTAAGGAGATATTTCCTAGTAATTAACTATTTGAAAACATTTCCTTAATTGAAAACATCAACAAAAAAACCCAGAATATTTTATCTATGCTTTTTTGAATGAATGAAAGCGCGTAAGAACAAAATACTTTTAACAGAATCCCAAACCAGCTAAAAGATAGCAGGAAAATTCCATGGAGCTTAAAGCAGCGTCCTCCACCTGTTTTAATCTCTAAAGCAGTATAAGGCACTAAAGTACACAGGTAAATCCTATCTTTAATTTGCAGGCAGGTCATGGCTTAGAGAGGGCTCTGCTCCTGAGGCAAGGAAGGGGCAAGGGAAGCTCAGCCTGGAGCTAATGGGAACTTTGTGCTTTCTCCTCATGTCCAGGTGCTCTATGGACCAGCAAGTAACGGGGCACATTAGCACCCGGCCTCCTCAAGCAGGCCAGCGTGCTGCATAGGCAACTTGCTGTGCAATAGCTACAGGGTTGCACAACTCTTCAAGTCCTGTTATTATGCTCCAAAATCTATACAGAACAGTATACTTCCTAAAGGACTTTCAATGAGGTTTAATACAAATCAGCTACTTCTATTCTGCCATCACAGAGTGGATGCGCTCTATACAAAGAACCAGCAAGGTCAACTAGGTCAATGTGATGTTTTCACCAGATGTTTTCCAAAACACAGTTTAGACTAATGACCTATTCAGGTCATCCAGGAAACTTTTAAAAATCTGACCTGAGCGCTAAGCATTCAGTCACTTACTTGGATAAAGCTGGTCTACCATCCAAGTAGAGAAGGCTCTAGACAACATAGCTGGAAGGATGGAGCAGCCTGATGCAGCATTAACTGTTTTCTGATGTTTTTCTTGGGGGTTTTAGGTGAACCACTGTGGTACTCAGGCCCCTGTGTGGCTCTCCCTGCGGGAGGCAGAGACCCTGCCTCGGCCTGGTGAGGTGAAGCAGTTAACAGCATGTGCCACGTGGCAGTTCTTCTTCAGCACTTCCAGGGACTGCTGCCTTTTCCGAATCCCTGTCAGTGTGAGAAACTGTGGAGATTTCTTTGTTTACCTGCTGCAACCCACCCAAGGCTGCATGGGCTATTGTGCCGAAGGTGAGAAACCATGTGCACTAACTTGGGGAGATGTCCATGTTCATTAATAAGTGTTTTCTGATATTCTTCCATATAAACCTTCCTTAAAAGAAGTCTACTGCATTCCGGATAGGTGCTCTCGGATTGCTCATTGTTAAAGTTATTAAAAACTAGATAAAAGCAATAAAAGCATAAAATATACTAGAAAACAATAGTAAATATTTTAAAGTTACATTTTTTAAGACATTTTGCTGAACATAAACATTTCAAAATAGCTATATGTAACAAAAGCTCCTGTAAATGCAACTTATAATATTGATGCTGACAGTCTCTGTGAATATTCATTAGTAAGATATAATGTAATAACATGAGAATTAGCAAACAACAGTAGATCACAAGAATCTTTTCTTATACCACTTGGAAAGGTGATTTTTCAAAATAGTTCCGCACTGCCACGTGCTCTAGGTGACCCTGCGTGTGCAGGAGGTTGGACTACATGACTTCTAGAGGTCCCTTCCAACCTTTAGCATTCTATGATTCTATGGACTTGACTGTCTTGGGTTGTAGTGAATAATCACTCAGATATGGATTTTGGGAAGACATAACTCCTAATCAAGATAATATTTTAATTCCTTTTTATTTGCTAGCAAAAATGTCTAGGTTTTTTCTGGGTAAATCTCTAATAAAAGACGTAGAGACAGTAAGATGTTCTGTACCCATTCTCTTAAATACAGCTAACTTGTGATTTCCAGTTTAAGGTTTTGTACTGACTCTTACCATAATTATATATGAATCAGATTACAAGATTTTTTTGATACTGGTAATTTACACTTCTATTATTGCTTTGTGATGTTTAGATTATTTTTTATGTAGAGCAGTATTTTAGGAGCCTTGGCATGTAATTAATCGGTATGTACATGAATGTATCACCTAAAAACAATATACAGCTGTTGCATATGCAAAACCACAGATTTGTGATCTCAAGGAAGAAGCAATTAAAAGTATCTGTAGCAGTAAGTATTTTCTTCTGTGTTTTTTTGTTTGTTTGGTTTGGTTTGGGTTTTTTTTTTAAGGATTTGCATGGATTTGCATCCATGACCCAATGACTTCAACATTTAGTCATATTCTGTCTTGAATAAAAAATATTCATGTTTTCTTTAATATTGCTTGAATTTCTGCAGGATAAGCAGTTTAGAAATAATATCTGATCTGTAGTTCCTGAACATAATGCTCAGAATAAACATTAAAATGTAATTTTAATAATACTGATTTATAGATTAATGTAAATTTGCAGATTCATTTTATATTTCACTCCAAAAGAATCAGCTCTTATCCTTTTCCACGTAAGTGGAGAAGATGCTCTTCTTTTGCATAAATTCGTTTACACGTTGCTCTCTCCTCTCTGGTAAGATGGTTCACTGCATTTTTATTATCTCATTTTTTCCCCCTCTTCAGCACCTTCCTGTGGGTTAAAACATAATCAAATATCGATAAAGAGATTTTTCTCATGTTAATAGTTAATAGAAGGAAAATACACTTTTTCACTCCTCCTCTTAACAATTACATAACAATTCCGGATATAGTAAAAGTAAATATTATTAGTTTATTCACTGGCAAAATACATGTCAAAGTTATTTCATCCAGAAATATTTTTGCATGGAATAAAAAGCACAAACTACACTTTTGTTTCACTAGGTAAGCTGGCGGCTCCATCATTTGCGTCTGTGTCACCACCATCACCAGCTACCCCTGAAGTTGTAGCAGAGTTGATCAAAGGCAGCATATACCTCAGGTGCACCTTTGGCGTTCCTTTTGCAAACAGCTTGGTTGGATTTATTGTAGCTTGGTCCAGACTTTCTCCTGAAGGCGTCAAAGAGGAATTGAAACGTGAGACAGCAGTTCATACATTCTCACTTTTAGAACTAGATGGCATAAACCTCAAACTTGGAGACAGAGTATGTTAAAAATAATTATCTTTGTATCTTTGTAAATATACTATTTTTCCTCCATAGGAATTTTATCTGTTGACATATGAGTTAATAATGCTGAGTAGATATTAACAGTTGTTAGAGACAAGGTTCCTTAAGCTTTCTTGGCAGAAAAATGATGCCCCTGGGTGTTCTTTGCTTCAACAGTGCCCGTACAAATATGGAGACATCACAGAATGTATCAATAGTTACCACCACCATTGAAGTTTTAAGACTCAGTCTCAGTACAGTTGTAGTGTGCCTCTAGTGTATAAATGTTTCTTCAAGTTACATTATCTTCACCTGTGATTTTGTTTGATACTGTAAATTAAGATTAGGGTGCAATTACACCTAAATGAGAGCTCATAAGAATTAGCTGTTTTAAGATGCTGTGTTGAGCAAATAACTGTTCCTATAAGTTAATAGTGAACTACTGCTTGACCACGTTGTTCAGTGGTTTAAGCTCTCTTGAATAGCATTTAAATGGTTTAATCTCTGCCATTAAAACAATGAGAGCAATTCCATTAATTTAAGTAGTAGCAGGCTCAAGATCTAGGATCATGTGATAACTCTGAGAGGCTTATGCACTGGAAAACCCGCAAGCTGTCTACCTGTATATACTAACATGCAATCCAAAAGCATGTAGTATTGTTTGTGATATCCTGTTTTCTACCGTTTTCCTAAGTTGTTTTATCTCGATAATGCACTGAGGCTCAGGTCAAAGGCAGGCTGCTTGGATGGCTTACGGACAGCCGTAGTACCTGCTAGTCCTCAAAAATCCTTGAGAACATTTATGAGTGATTGTGACAATGTTAGCTCAGTGTCAGAAAGAAATGGAGATTGAAGAATGAACTACATGATGCTGCTGTAAATTCCTGATTTGACAAAAATCTCAAATATCGCATGTCTCATCAAAGTATCTCAGAAAGGGTATAGCCAAAGAAATAGAAAAAAGAATGGCTAGTGGCATATGACTGGCTCATAGAGGAGAATACGATAAACTTCCTCAGCTTGAAGAAGAGATCATCCAAGCTCATAATACCAGTTAAAAGTTTAGTAAGAAGAGGAGGAGTAGGGCTGGTTGTCTTGTATAATCTTAGAACTAAAAGGCACCCAACAAAAATAAAAGGCAACAAACATAAAACGGTTCAGAAGAGACTATGAAGATCGATGGAGGCATGGGTGCTCGCTAGACACATTGGTCTATAGCCACCTTGTTCAAGAAGGCTCTGAAGCACTGACAGAGAATCCCAAAAAGATTTTTAGGTACTTGATCCATTTCTGTATTTTCCTTAAGCAAGACCATAGGCAGTTGCTAATTTATGGTGGAGACTGGACTTGATGCATTTCTTAGGCTGGCCAATTGTGGCTGGATTTTGTATTCACATAAGGACTCCGACACTATAATATATTGTGTTATTTCTGTCCTGCAGGTTTACTGTAGCAGTTCTGCCTTTCTCTTGGAGAAACCGGATATACAAAGCTCTCCTGTTGAGAGTGAGGAGTTTTTTGCTGGCATAAAGGTAATTTGAAAAGAAAACACTATCTTTATTGCAGTAGGATTCTTTTTGAGTATTGCTGTAGCTAACATGTAATATTAATACATTTCTTCTGTGGGCACATTAAAACATCTACATCAATGAATAGTGTTTGAGCATTTTTGTAATTACTCTGTGCTTGACAGTGATCAGATCTTGTAGGATGATGAATGAGAGTAAGATGAAATCAAAACAGCTGCAGAAAATAGTTGGGGCTCTGACTAGAAGGCACTCGAGATGTATTCTGGATGCAGAGAGCGAACAGCTGGCTGTAGTGAGCTTGGATTTGTCAAATGTTGGTGGCATCAAAAGTCTTTCTGCCTTCCCCCATCTATTCAAGGTGCAGGAAGACAATCACTGGCTCACACAAATTATAACAGCCCAGCGAAAGACCTGGCTTCCAGAAACTGGACTAGACCTTTCTAAACTAGAGGGCCATGGCTCAGACTCGGGCCCTCGCAAGCTAATTGTTCAGTAGATTTAGTTGTGTCTACCTTTTTGTCATGATTTTGGCCCATGAAACACATAGATCTGGATCAGAGGATAGCCTTGGCCAGGAAGTATGCCCAGCTCACTGGGGGGATGAGGGAAGGCTGCAGCCAACCTGTTTTGGGCTTAGACAGTGGAACTGGGGAAAGTTTAATCACGTAGACATGGACTGGCCATGCCATTTGGTCAGAGAACAGATGCAAACTCAGTTCCTACCGTGCACGTAGCTCTGCTGCCCATCCTCACAAGCCTCATCAAGTAGAGTGGGCCGTGCACCAAGCCACTGTGCTTCACTCCTGATGTGTTCACTCTTGCTGGTTTGTAAGGAGAACCTGCCATTCACTCCCCAAAATTTGTATTTTAAGTATGATTCCTCCTGTGTTAGGTATATCCAGAGGCTTATAGTATATCAGAAGATGGAAAGGAATACAGACTGGCAATAGAAAGTAGAATTCCTATTCCTTGTTCTGATTTTGGACAACTTGAAAATGACTGTAAAATCTCGCTGACATTAAATACTGTTGACCAAGGTAAGTATTATCCTGGATTTTGTTACATTTTATGCTTTTAGTATGTTTTTCTAAATATTCTCTTCAGAGAGAAGAGAATATTCTCTTTGGAAATGCTGATACATTAGAAATGTGTAATAAAATTAGCACAAAATATTTGCAAACTGACCATACAGCTGTTGATAGTACTGGGGGATGAATCCATAATCTGCTACTCAGCAGTGTGTACATGATTTCAGTACCCGAAATTAGCAGCTGTTTTTGTCAGCTATGGATTATCAGAGCCATTTTTGGTTAAAATTGATAAAATTGAATACTGTAATGCTTGCAAAGTTCAGAATTTAGTTTGGTTATAGCCCAATTGTATTTGATGCAAGTATATGTAGTCAATCATTTCTATATAATATCATATTGTGATTTTGACTCAGAACAATTCAGAAAATTCAATTTCTCTGTGTAGGTGTGTGTGAAGGTTGAGAGGGGTTTTTACATGACCTATCCCAGTAAAATACATAACTATTTTCACTTACAGACAGAAAAAATCTTTCTTATTTGCAAATAATATAGTATTTATATTGACAGAATTACAGAATTGTGACTTGCTTAGAAGAAAACTCACAAATTATGTGTTTTCATTAAAACAGGCAAAGAACAGTTAGGTTTAAACTTGGCCCTTTCTTCTTGTTACGTGGATCTTCTCCAGAAACCCTGCAATAATGGAATTTGTAGTCAAGCTGTAAGTTATTTCACTGCTGTGACAGACTTTATGCAGGATGGAGACCGGATTACCAGGATTGTGGTGGAACCCATATCCAGTGATAATATCCTGTGGAATGGCTATGCTCCAGAAAGCACTCAGGTTGGAAATCCTCTAACTCTATAAAACCAACAGTCCAAAAATGTGGATGATATAAATGAAGCTCCTATTTCAGGTGTGTCATATTGCGTCACACCAAAAATTCCCGGAGTGTTCAGTATTGTTTGCTTTTCATTCACATCCTGCCCTTTTATTTGAATTAAGATTTAAAAAAAAAAATACTGATTGAAGAGTAAACTAGTATGTCAAGATAAGTAACTTGTTTGAGTATGTTTATTCTTAACCTGGCTTGACTTACTATGTCTTTCTTTGTTTTGAAGATTACCGTAAAGGATCTACCTACTGCTTACTGCTACTCATTTACTGACCCTCATATAATTACATTTGATGGAAGGTAAGAGCTAGATTGCTGTTCTTAATTTTACGTAATTTCATATCATGCTGTCTATGCTGATACAATTTAACTATACTTTTCCCTAGTTAGTTGCCTTCTGTGTTTTAGACTCTTTCCTGGCCAGTAAGGATAAACATTCCTCAGTTAGCAAAAGCTCATGCCACTGATGATGGTTGCAATATTTATATTTCCAAATGCAAGCTTTGAGTTGTGCCAAAGGACTAAAAATAAGGGAGTATTTTCCTATTTTAAGGAGTGTGCAACAGTGGCCATAGAGTCTATGGGAGACAAAAGATGGAAATATGTTTAAGGATGAATAATGATGAAATGATTGAATATGCCAAGCAATTCTAATTCAAAGGAATATCCAGTCTGCAGCGTGTTTTCTCTCACCATGAGAGTAAGAAGCCTATCAAGTCACTAGAAGATAGCTATTGTCTGCATGGCTTTGTGCTGAGCTTGGTCATAGGTTTAAAAGTTACTTATTTGCTGCAGTCCCATGTATGTTACTGAAATTTCTTTCCAAAAGGAAGACATTTCTTCAAGTGACAGGATGAGGAAAAGAGGATGCCTTGCCCCCAAATAAGGGTTTGCAACCCACAGCTGGATCTTGTGAACCTGATAAAGGAAGGGAAAAGGCAGGTTATAATGTCTGTTCTGATGGCACTGTGACTATTAATGGCATTTACCATGATTGTCTCCCTCTTGCTCCTTCAGTGGAAGCTGTGGGGATGGCTTCACAGGACAATTTAAGCATTGCTGTGTTGCCACCAAGCTTCCTTATGATACACTGTGATTCACTGTGATATGTTCCTGCTGGAAGCATGATGCTGAGGGGGGAAGGTATCTTTAAGGTTAAACAGTGTTGCTACTTTATTTTACAACTTGGGCCAAGGGAGCTGTCTGTGCTGAAACTCAGGTAACCCTGTGCAGTCTGAGGAGGGCAGCCACCTGCAGTGTTTCTGCTCGGCCTTTATTCAGGGGGCAAATCACTGTCCTGCAATTAACTGTCAAATGCCATTTATAGCTAGGAAGTGGTTAAACTTAACAGTGGAAGTAGGGTGTTTTTTTTGTTCGTTTGTTTGTTTTTTTTTTTCCCCCTCTTCCCTCCCCGCACTCAGAATCATTAAATAGGCTATTTTGGGCTTGCTTCAAGGAACAGATGGCTAACCCTAAGGAGAAAAGAAAGCCACTATTTACAGTTTTCAGTTTACATGAAATTCCAGGCTTTAGGAGCAAGCAGTTTCCATCTCATCCGTAGTAAAACAGACCTTTCCTAATGTACATGACTTTTCTAAATCGTTTTGTGAAGGGTCCTTGTGCAAGCTTCAGCACACCTGCCCCGCACAGGCACACGGTTGAGCACGGTGCTGCTGCTGCACACGGGCATTGCTGGAGAAGCACAAGGAGGGAGAAGGGCCTTCAGCCTCCATGTCACAGAATCCATGAGCACAACTGGCTAATGGCCAAAAAGGCAGTGGCTCTGTGGTTGTGTGTCCATTCAGAAACATTGTCTATGTCTATTGCACTCAATAATCTCTCTTTTTTTTTTTGTTTTTGCTTCTTTTTCTGGTGAAGCTCAATTTTAAATTTTTGCTTCATAGCTGCATTTAAGAAGATATGATTTTGATTATCTAGGAGGGGAAGAAATATACGGGCTGGTTTGTATGCTTTGCTTTCCTGTTTGGCTTTCCTGATGCACAGACATAATTTGTAGAATCAGAGCTCACAAAATATTTGAAATCTGGATTAATGTTGTTGGCATGTAACAATGCAGCTATAACCGAAGCAATATTATATGTTTTTCTCTTGATTCCAGACTCTATGACAATTTTGAAACAGGAACTTTTGTTCTCTCTAAGAGCACGTCTCGAGATTTTGAGGTTCACGTTCGGCAGTGGGACTGTGGAAGTCTCCACTCTCCAGCCTCCTGTAACTGTGGCTTTGTTGCCAGAGAAGGAAGGGATGTCGTTGCGTTTGACATGTGCAGCGGTCAGCTACGTGAGTCACAGCCACACGTGACTGTAATAAGTAGAGACACAACTGGAAGTAATGTCAGGATCACTGAATCCTACCTCGGAAGAAAAGTAACAGTAAGTGGTAAATATTACTTACTGAGGTAATATTTATCTCAACAGTTATTTTTGTCAGTTCACATCAATTATAGAACCAAACATGTTTTATTTCTGGTAATTAAGCAATACAGTGAAACCTATTTTACAGTTATAGTCCTATATATATATATATATACAGTTATATATTTTACAGGAACTGTGTAGCCTGTACAGCCTACAGCCCTTGAATATTTTTGTGGTTTTGGGAATCAATATGTGCTTACAGTGCGGTATCAGTTTTCCAAAATGGGCTCTCTGCAATGCCTGCACAAAGTTTTGCTCGTGCTTGTGTCATATATCCTGTGATACATTGCCTGTGTGTGCAAATAACATGACAAATGACATACATAGAATTAAAGGTGTCAGTGGCTTCTCCAGAGAATGTGGCCCTCAAATATAATATTCACATTTGTTTTTATAAGTTGCATCACTTTTCTTTTATGGCTAACATTGCTATAAGGCTCCAGCAAACCTGAAATGAAGCAGAATGTAAAATAAAATACCTGGCTTCTCTCTAATCACCCTGTTAGTCTGGAAGCCATAAAATCAATATGACCTTTCACGTTGGGTTTAGCTATTGGTCTAAGAATGCTTTAAATGTTTAGCTTTTGTCTGAAGCAGTTCATTTGAAGACTTCAGCTATTAAGTATCAAGAATCCTTAGGCAATAGAGAGGTGAAATTCCTCCCTTTCATAGATAAGGGTACAGAAAAACAGAAATATTAAGTGACTTATTCAGATCTGTGCTGCAGGTCAATAACAGAAAAGGCAAAAAATAGTTGAGAAAGGTGTCACCAAAGAGTCAAGTCAAAATGACCAAAATTATCCCTTGCCCCGTGCTAGCATAGGACAAGTAGCTTCTTTTTCTTTGTCCAGTGGCTCTGTGATTCTTTGTGGTTTTGAAGTCATTGACCATCCATAGAATATCTGCTAATGATGAATAAAGTTTATTGACCTACAGTGCACTGCCCAGCTGCCACTTGTACATACTAGTTCAGATGTACAGGACTTTTCCAAAAGAATTTACAAAACAAGAAATAACTTTTTTTTTTTTTCTGATACAGATTAGTTAGCTCCGGAGTTTAATGGATTTTTTTATACATCTGGCCTTTGTCAATGGTTCCTGACTAACAAACCCCTAATTTGATTAAAAGTGTTTCTCATGATGCTGTTGCCCATCTCTTTTCAGGTTGGGTTTTCTTCTGGAGCTTTCATTCGTGCTGATGTGAGTGAATGGGGAATGAGCCTAACGCTCAGGGCACCCAGCTCAGATTACAAGAATACAGTGGGACTCTGTGGCACCTTTGACGGAAGTGCAGAGAATGACTATCACACTGCAAGTGGGATGGAAATCCCACACAGTTCTAATGTTCCCTTTTCTTTTATTAACGAATGGAGGTAACAAAATGCTTATGTTTTAATCAAATGTCATCATTTTGGTTCAGCCTTTCCGTTGCGCTTGTAACAACCTGTTTAGTTAAGAAAAATCTTCCTAACTTTTGAAGTTGATGTTAAAATGCCATTGTTACTTTCCATAACTAATTTCCGTAAATTGAAATTGAAGTGCCAAATTAGTAGTTAAGTAGTAATTATTACATTTTTGAATAAGTTTTGAACAAAATACCAAGGTATACAAAAGAGTCACTCAGTGGCTTTGTTGCAAGTTGCTCTCATGGTTTTATAATTTAGCTGGGGTCCTTAATTTTAGCTGAATGCTGTAGATTTTGTCATTTCTGGTGCAGAAGTATCAAACAAAAAAATCCAAATACCACATTCTTAGTAAAACAAAACAGACAACACTTTTGAAATGCACCTTTTTTTTTTTCTTTTTCTTTTTCCCCTAGAATTTCACCAGGAGATAGTTTGTTTGACAAGACACCTGCTGCTTTAACATCTTCCACAAAAAGAGCCTTCTGTGACTGCAGGCTTAGAGATGCTGGACTACATCAATCACAGAATAAACTAGAGTCCGTTTCTAAACTTCCTCTCTTTTGCAAAGAAAGTGGAAATGGTCGATTTCCATCTTTGATACCAGGACTCGATGTCACTACTGAGTATCTCAGTCCTGTCAATCTTGTCAGAGGCTTAAAGAAGCGTTCGCCTGCACAGGAAATGGCTTCTTCACCTCTCCAGAAAATTGATCGCTTCGATAAACAAACCAAACTTCACAAAATACTGCTGGTAAACACAAGTTCAGTAGAAAATACTTGGATAGAAAGAGAAGGAACTTCAAGCTCAGGAATTAAAAGAAATCCCCACAATTACAGGACTCATCTTCTCAAAGGCAAACCTGATATGAGCAGAAGGAAGCGCCAAAGTTATTATGAATATCATCCAGTGTTTCCATTCCAAAGTCTTAACCAAGCAGACCTAGAAGGCTATAGCTATTTTTTTCCGGAGGACCATGCCACTGGTCTGCACCACAAGTTTCTTCCATCCTGGCCCACACCTTCGGGCCTGACCGAGTCTAGCGCATTGGGCCTGTGCCAAGAGGCCATAGTGAATTCCACTATAGGGAGATCTTGTGGCGGCCTCCTTGGCAAGCGAGTGGAAGATGCAGTAGATATGTGTGTAAAAGATTTGCTGCTGAAAGATGACTTCAGCTGGGCAGAAGCCTTCTTACCTCTTCTGGAGAATGAATGTGAGAAGAGAGTTTTAGAAGAAATAAATTCCAACCAACAGGAGCTTCAAGGGTCAGTCGAGGACTTGCTTGTTGTGTTAAAATGTCCCAGTCTCTGCAGCGGGAATGGAGAATGTATGGAATGGGGTTGTGCATGTTTTCAAGGCTATAGCTCTTACGACTGCAGCATTCTGTCTGGTAAGTGAACAAAACAATGAGATTTACTGACATAGCACTTTTGATGTTTGTGCCCCATAAGTTTATTATACTGCTTTTCTTTCCTGCCTTGGTACGCTGTCAGAGGCTCCATACAGTGGGGCTGTTTGTTATCCAGCAACTTAGTTCCCATTTAAAATTGTTTTCTATTCAGCCTTCTTGTTTCCCTAGGGCAAAACATAGCTGAGTTTATGGTATGTCATATTTCTTAAATGTACCACTCAATACAGTCCCAAGAGGGTAGCATGTTTTCACATTGCTCCCTGTCTTCTGTAGGGAAGATCTGCCACTTCTATCCATTCCCTCTTGTTTATAGTCTGTATGGTGCTGTTTATTAACTGCAAATGGAAGGCTTTTCATTTTGGCGATATTACATATCCGTAAGCAAACTGTTAAACATGGTGGAAATAGAGTTGATGGTGAGGGAAAAAAGCTATAGCAAATATTGCTGGGCAGGTTTTTACAGTAAATAGAAAATGCAGGTAAACAGACACACTGGGAAAGTATGAGAGAAAAGTATTGGGAAATTCAAAATCCTTTCAAAAAAATATGTTCATATTTATTTTGAAAGGGCATTTTTATTTTAGTGACTTATTTAAAAGCAGAGGTGAAATGATAATAAGCCTTTTAAATTTATCATGGAATTGTCTTGCGAGCATTTGTGATAGAAAGAATGAAGATTTCAAGTAGTGAAGCAAAAAACTGCATAATGTTACAGTTTTCTTAATTGGATATTGAAGTAAACATATTGCTTAACTGTAAATGCATATAAATCAATCAATATGCAACTTTCGCTGCCTGATCTGTGCTTCAAAGATCAGGTTCCAGAAATCACGGAGCTGGAGAACGGGGGGCTATGCGATATTCGGCAGTCTGACTGCGCCTCAGTGAGAGCTTTCGGACACGGCTTCAGGGAGTCATCAAGCCTGAAATGTGAAATTAGCCAATTGCAGGTACGTGTGTGCTAACGTTACCTTTAAGCTCCTCAAAGAGCGAGGAAGACAATGACTAACTAGCCACATACCCGTCATTTATGTGGACACCGCCCAGTGCTTTAGCAGAAGCCAAAAGCAAAGGCATCCAGCATTTTGCAGCAGCCCCTCAAGACTCTGCAAGATTGCTGTTTCCTCTCCGATAAGGGGAATACACAACATAATGGGAATGTTCAGCAGCCGAGAGGGAGATAGCAATGTGCAGCACCTCTCCATCAGGAAAGCACAAGGGCATCCCTAAGAGCAGCAATCACCGCATTGTTTGCCTTTTATTTAAGTGCTTATGGAGGGGAAGAGAAAAGCCACTTCTTTGGAAAGGGGCAGCAAGGTTAAAGGCATTTATGGATTTCTGTCCTAATCTAATGCTTGAAATGACCCTCTTATCAATATAATAGATCTGTTACAATAGAAAGGCACTTTTGATATGTTGTCAGTATCTCTGGGGTATTTCTTTGTTTTCCCTGGGTATTTAATAGTATTCATCAGGAGATTGAAACTGCTGTACTGCAAGCTAATACAATTTTAAGAGGAACGAGTATAGACATACTGTTGTTATCCAAACCTGGAATTTGCCCAAGACATTTAAGTAATTTAAAGTGTTAGTCTGACATAACATGCAGATTTGAGGTTTCTCCTTCATCTTGGACATGAAAATAATTTTTTTAAAAAAAAAACTTCATAGTAAAATGTGGTTCCATTGATGTGCTGATAGAGGCAAAGTGGGACTGGCGAAAGGGGAAATGTCCAGTGGGACACTTTTGTTCCTGAGGGAGAAGAGTTTTGCTTAGTGAGTGCCAGCAGAGGCTAAGATGATTTTGACAGATTAAGCAGTGCGGGCTATAGATTTTCCATGAGCACAACATGTATCCGCTCATCTGGAGGTGGCTTGAAATGAGAAAGTCTTTGCACGAGAGTGTAAATTTACACTCCATTAGGTTAAAAGACTTTTAGACCAAACTCACAGTGAGACAATTACTGGGAGCTCACTTATCACAGTTTGAAATGTCTCACTGTTAACTCGGGGCAAGATTTTCTGATATAATGCTCTCTGTGGTGGTGTACTTGGCTCTCAACTACAAAAACTTTCTGTTAAACCACTTTTATTGATGATATTCTCACTGACAAGATCCAGGCTAGAAAATGAAAGCCACTGCTTTTATCTGAAATTCAGGAGGAAGTTGATGAAAGGATCTTTTTTTCCCTCACCCCAGGCTGGAGTAGTAGTGGCTTTATGAAAATATGTATGGAGTTGCAGTAGTGTAGAACTCCACATAATTTAAGATAAACTTGACAGGTCAATATTTCATAGAAGAGTCATTTTGGCAGAGTTTAGAGTTAGTACAAAGTACAAAGTGAATTTCTCATTTTTCATCTTTTCCCTTGTGAAAGGCTAAAAGAGATCCATTGTCCAGGGACTGTCCTGCTATGTTGGGAAGGATGTAGGTTTCATGCATGATGCTAAAAGAGCTAATTTGGAGAAATCTGTATTGAAGGACCTCACAGAAGCAGAACTAGTAAATCTGTCTTGGTAGAAGTTTGGGTAGGACACGGCCAAGGAGCCTATAATTATATGGATTCAGAATTGACTTAGATTTTGTACAGAATGAGATTGAGTTTAATCCAAAAAAGAAAAAAGGCTTCTGGCAAGGTAGACCTTCCTCACTTTTCAAATGTTATGTAACTGAGCACTGCCAAAGTTATGTATTTAGAAATATATAGCTATTCACCCTTCTTGGTTTTGCTGTGACTTCCTTCAAAAGTTACAACAAGAAAAAAAAGTCTAAATGTTTTATTTGAACAAAAATAGTTCATATATCTGTTCAGCAAAAGTTTTTATGTGAGGTTATTTTTACTGTTCATAAAAAAACACATGGCCTTAGGATGCATCATGTCAGAACTGGAGTTAAATAAAGGTGCCTTGATTGTTTTCTGTAGCTGAAGCAAGTAATGAGAGACACCTGAATAAAACCTATACAAACTTGAAATGACTTGATCTGGCTGTTCTCCAGATCTGTAGTCTGCCTGGATTCTTATTTTCATCTACCTTTATTTTCCATAGGCTTTAACCCTGCTCTCTACTTCCTATAGGAAGAACTCCTGTTGCTATTAAGACTTTTGTCATATTATCATCCCTACTTTTTTATCTTTAATTCTGAAGATAGATCTTTAGATGACTCTTCTTCACTACAATTTAGGAGAGAAGTCTACATGGACAGTGTCTAATTTATTGGCTTGTGCAAGGGTTTAGTGGCTAACTGCCACTGTCCTAGTTACTAGGTTAGGTAGAAATCAATTCCTGTGCAAATAATAGTAAATTAATATTTCACATAACACTTTAATCCAGGGGCATTAGATGCATTCAAACACAGTACAATCCATGTTTTGTATGAGATAAAAATATTTTCGTATTTCACTGTAAAGCAGGCTCTCTGTCTTAACTTTCAGCATAATGGTAGCCACTGGCTTCTTGGAGAACCTCTAATTATGCCGGCTGCCTTCCAAAGTGCCGGGATTGCCGACTGTCAGTTACCAAGCGATGGCCAGCAGTCCCATGTCATGGATCTCGTTGATGATAAACCTCTTGCCAGATGGCAAATAAAGGTACTCTCAGAAATTTCAAGTATTCACTTCAAGATATTCCTGTTTAAAGGAAGATGTATTATATGGATATTATCCTTTTTTTCTTTTCAGTAGTACTAAGTGTCAAGTTCAGCTGGTGTAACTTAGGGTCTGAGGTTCATCACCTGAATTAAGTGTTGAGTGCTGGTTGAGACGGCTCCCCTGTAAGGGGAAGGTGAAGGTAGAGATACAGGTAGAGATGAAACCTACAGAGGTAGAGAGGTAGAGGTGAAACCTACAGAGACACACATTCTTCAAGAGTAGGACTTAATGGCTAGGTGGCTACCCTAGAGCATTTGAAATGCTCTTTGACACATTTATGGGAAAACTAAGTTGAATATAGCATACATGCATGAATCTGTAGGTGAGGTAGACAACTGAGATCTCAGACCCATTCAAAAATGTCAATGGAGCCCAGAAGGCTATTCAGTCTACCTTAAAGTAGACACCTAGGTCTAGTCAGTCAGATATCTGTCTAGACTTATTGGTAGGATTGACTAGATTTCTGCTGACTATTTTAAGAGTTTAAACAGCCAAATGTAGATGTTTGAGTTGAATCCCATGCTAGCAGTCCGTTTGGGTGATATGGTGATGCCTATATGAATTAATCCATTTATAATCTACATTTTGCAGATTTCTAATGATGGATTCATTTATAGCAACCCTAAAACAATGATATTATATGATGGAGCCTGTCAAACCTGTGAACCACAGGAATCGGGGTTATGTACGTTAAAGGTATGTGTTTCCTTCCTGTCTGTTTACTATGAAAATATGCAGGTGGAAAAAATCTCCAAAAATCAGCAGACTAAATCTCCATATACAAACCCAGCTCTTGTTTCTAACAGGGGTTTTCCATACACAAAGAAGATAAGCACATATATTGAAGATGAGCTGAGGCAACTTCAGAAAGAAATGAACTTTCCTACAATTATCAAATAAAAATGAACAAGTTTTTAGTGGTTTGTTTTTAAAAACAGTTAAAGTGTAAAATGGATTAGATTTTATTTGGCACTTTACAATTACATACAGATTTATTGTTTGACAGCAGAAAATATTGAATCACATAACAGTTATTTCTCTATAGGAGAAAACATGCAACATAGATGGACTCTGTTATGGTGAAGGTGACACAAATCCAAGCAGCCCTTGTTTACTCTGCAGACCTGACATATCTAAGTTAACTTGGTCAGTTGTTGAAGGTAAGCTCTAAGTAGTTTCTTTTTTCATAGCAAGAACTTGAAAATCTACTAAGTTTTCAAAATGTTTGGATGTAGTGAAGTTTTAACTCTGTAGTTATTTTTAGTTTATAAGTTGGTCTTGCTTTTTATCTTACACTTTTTTTTTTTTCTGAAATCAGACATGTGAAAGTCAGGATTCCCCACGCGCCTTCCATGTGGTACCATCAAAAGTAACTGTCATGGGAACAACCAACCATCAGTTAATTAGCAGTTTGCAGTCTTCTGATTTTTGGCACAACTATGCCCACAAATGTTTGTTTTCAGCTTTTAGAAATAAAACATATTTTCTGGCAATAAGATAGATTTTCTTAGGCAAGTCGTTTCATTATTTGGATGGATAAATATATTGGATAGACTAGATGCAAAATTTTTTCACGGGATCGTAGGAAAATTCAGATTGGAAGCTATTTCAAGAAGCTGTGTAATTCAACCTCCTGCTCAAAGCAGGGGTAACTGTGAGGTGAGACCGGTTCACTTAGAGTGTTTGTAGTAATATATAAGCTGCCATATTTTATGCGTTGCCCTCATGAGGTCAAAAACAGTGAGTTCATCTAACTGTGGGTACATTGCAGGGCATTGGAGAGCATAACAAAAAATGTGATTTAAAAATCCTATGTTCTGCAGAGATGCCTGAAGTATGATGGCAGCATTGGAGTTGCACATAAGTCAACTTGCTGGCACGGGTGCCTTTCTGGATGCATCCGGTGCATTGATAACTGCATTAAGAGCCTTGCATAAATAAAAGCAACAGCTACTAGACCTACTAGCAATGTTTTGTGTCAATTGCCCTCATTAGGGCAAAAACAGTGGGTTCATCTAACTGTGGGTCCAAAATTGCAGGGCCTTAGAGAGCATAACAAAAAATGCGATTTAAAAATCCTACGTTCTGCAGAGATGCCTGAAGTATGTGGCAGCATTGGAGTTGCACATAAGTCAGTTGCCCTCATGAGGTCAAAAACAGTGAGTTCATCTAACTGTGGGTACATTGCAGGGCATTGGAGAGCATAACAAAAAATGTGATTTAAAAATCCTATGTTCTGCAGAGATGCCTGAAGTATGATGGCAGCATTGGAGTTGCACATAAGTCAGCTTGCTGGCACGGGTACCTTTCTGGATCCTGTGCATTGATTGGTGCATTAAGAGTCTTGCATAAATAAAAGCAACAGCTGCTAGACCTACTAGCAATGTTTTGTGTCATGTTTTGCTGCAAGGGTTCTGTGACAGGAGGGAAATGCAAGAAACTGGATTAAATATCAGGCCATATTTGTTAATAGTTAATATTCAGATATGATTCACATTGATGGCATAGATTCGTGGCCTAAACAAATCTTCAAAGGCAGGACACAAGGAGCAGAGTGTCAGCTCAGTGAGTGAGTTGCCATGTGGTTGAAGTCCTCCAGGGAACACCGAGTGTGTTACCTCTTCCACTGTGCTCGCTTATGCCAAGAGAATCCCTGAAACCCAGTCCCTGGTCTGTTAATTTTTTAGAGGAAGTGACAATCACATCTGGGTTTTATGTATCTGTACTTTCATCTGCAAGGTGCAGCTCTGCCTAGCTAAAATACAGTTTAAATTCAGTAAATTTTGAGTGCTTTCTGTAAACCAATGCAATGCACATTAACAAGCTTGATGTAAAAAAAATCTTTTTAATTTTGTTAACAGCTACAATGAAAATGTCTACTGTTTTTGCTGTTTCATTCAAATGACATAAAATTTGAAAGAAAATAGTTACATATTATGTTCTTAGTAGAAAGACATATTACTTTTTAATTTCTGTAAATGTATTGCAACTCCTGCTTATAAGAGAAAATATTTTCTTTGTTACAGACAACCAACCTCCACTGCTTCAAACTTTTCAGGGTACCCTACAGACTTTCTATGGAGAAAATTTCGTATATCAATTTTTGGCCTCAGATCCAGAGGGTTCTACTGTTCTTTTTACATTGGAATCTGGTCCTGAAGGTGCTAGTCTTTCCCCATCAGGTCTCCTTTTATGGAAAGCGATGTCAAAGAATCCCCATAAATTAACATTTTCTTTGACAGACGACTGCAGTGCAGAGACAAAAGTAGAAATAGAGGTAATGAATGTTACGGTCAAATGACAAACGAGTAAGTGTTTTATAGAAGGCATTTATTTGCAAAATTCATTGTTAATTTGTTTAAAAAAATAAAGAAGTCTTTTCTATTGGGCTTTCCTTTTAGGTGAATGTAAAATCATGCGATTGTCTGAATAATGGCTCGTGTGTGACAAATGTTAATTTTCCACCTGGAAGTGGAAGATACCTTTGTGCATGTGTGCCTGGCTTTGAGGGGGATCTCTGCCAAGTGAATGCTGATGAATGTCAACCTAACCGGTGTGCTGCTGGCAGGTGTGTAGATGCCATAAACAGCTATCACTGTGAGTGTCCACCAGAGCTTCAGGGTAAGTTACTACTTCATACATGTAGCAGCAAATGCCAGTTTCTAATTTTATCTTCCACAGATTTTTTAAAATTTATTGATGGCAAGTAGCTTACTGTTACAGTAAGGAGATGAAATACTGTGTTCTTTTTCAAAAGTTACATATGACAACATTAAAAAATATTGTAAAAGTCTGTATTTCAATTCAGGTAAGAATTGCCAAGATGACGTAGATGAATGTGAATCCAGACCCTGCTTCCCTGGAGTATTTTGCTTCAATACTTTTGGTTCTTACCATTGTGGTCCATGCCCAGCTAGTCTACAAGGAGATGGGAAGTCATGTTATGGTATGATTAAAATATTATGAAAAAATAATTTATTTTTCATAAGAATAGAATCATAGAATCATAGAATGCTTAAGGTTGGAAGGGACATAGTACTATTTTATTCTAATTTGGGTATCATTGGTTGTGTTACATGTTTGTAACTAACTTAGAAGAACTCTTCAGTAGTTGGGAAAAGGGCTTTTTCCTCTGCCTTCTGGAGCAGAATCTCAGTTGGCAATAGCATCAGAATACATTGGGTCACATAGTCGTAGAAAAAATTACCTACAAAATATACTAATTATTTATATACAAATGGATGAAGTGAGGTTTGTCTTTTTTTCTGCATTATTTTCCAGATGTGTGCTAGTATTGACAAAATCCTTTCCTGTGTGATAGCTTAAAAGAGAACTATCCAGCTCAAAGCACTTGCCAAACGAGGAGCTTAAATGTTTACTTTTACTGTTGTATTATGCAATTTCTGAGGAACTTGGAGTTTTCATATACTCTGTTAAATTTTATAAGCTTTATTTTAATGAACTATTTTACTCTTCATCTTCTCTGAGTTTGTAGTTATTTTTAGTTGCTTAAAACTAACTCTCTAATTTTGGGGAGGTTGGGTGAATAATAAACTGCTACTGTGCCTTGACATATTTTGTTTTTAGCAAGCTTTGAAGAAAATGTTAAAGGAGAGGATTCAACAGAATCAGACGGAATAAACAGACGGAATAAAGGTGATTTTTGTGAAGAGAGCAGAATTTCGGATTCACATACTGATAAGAATGTAAATGGCAAAGAAAGGTTCTAGTTAGGCTTGTGTTACTTTAATTTTTAAATTTAACTCAGTATAACTCATCGTTTGGGTTGTATTCCTGTTTTCAAATAAGTGACACCAAAATGTCAGTATCTACAACTCCCTTAGGTTAGTCACAGTACAGTGTGATTTATGACATTCTTCCGGTTGCCTTTTGTTTTTGTGACTAACCACAAATATAAAGGAGGTAACATGGGGATAGGGACATCTGTTACATGAGATAAGCGAAAGTTTATGGCATTATCTTGAATGCCATTCTAGTGCTTTAACTCAAATAAAGGTGAAGGATATGGCAAACGAACGCTCTTAATTCCAAAACTTCATAAATACTATTGCTGGCATTTCCAAGTCTGTGCCTGCTGGGGCTTCATTCACGGGAAATTGTCCTTGAACATCTTTTCCTATTTACCTCCAAATTGTTAGTAGGGGAGAAGGAAAACTCTGTTGGCTGCCAGTGCTGGATAATTCTTCATCAGCTGCAAAATGGTTTGCTTTTCAGCAAAGGGAGGCATAGCACTTTGTAAAGAGATACAGGAAAGTTTAACCTTTTCTAGATAACTGTCTAGTTCCCAAAGGAAGCTAGGGACAGATCTCAGGTAGAATAATTTGTTCCAGTTTCAATTCCAGCTAAAGCTCATATAAGGCATTCTGGCATTTGAGGCTAATATAGCACTTCTTTCTGCAATCCACCATAATACCCACTTTCCTAGGCAAAATATAAGAACTTTTCATTAGGTCTTTTCAGAGAGGAGGTTGAGTCTGCTTTCGAGGATGTAGTTTTGTGTGTTTGAGTTTTTGTCACCTTGGCCTTCTCGAGGTGGTGGATTATTCCCAGGAAATGCATCATAGGATATATCAGTAAGTCTAAGTGTGTACATATGTGTGACTAAATACTTGCTCCTAGGCTTGTTACTGGCACTTGGGTACAGTGTGGCACCACAGCAGTATCTTCACTTTAAACTCTTTCAGTTTACCTGCTTGGTAGCCCTGTGGTGCCGGTTGGAGCTGATGATTTGCTCTAGCAGGAATAGCTATTCACAGACCTAGTCTAGGGAAGGCCTCTGGCTGGCTGTCTTGTGGGTATGGTGCCTCCTCCCAGCCATGAAGTGGTGAGGATGGGTTGGGAAGTTAAGTTGCTCTAACTCTGCCAGCTGAGGACTGGGTTCTACTGAATGTAATTCCTAATGTAGCACATGGAAGAAGAGGCCTCTTGAAGCACAGAATGGATGGGTCATGTTTTTTGTTGTTGTTTGTGTGTTTTCCCGATTAGAAGACACTCCCCACACTCACAGGAGAAATTCATGTAATATTTTTGTATTTTTCTCATTTTTGAACACGTTGTAGCTTTTCAATGATGGTTATCTGACAGGTGTTTAAGTGTCTCAAGCTATATTCCTTGTTCTACAGACAGCCCCCAGAGACTTATTCCTATAGAAGTGGCCAGTAGCGGAGCTCCACCAGCCTCCACAACAGCAACAGTCCCCACTTGGAAGGTGTTTAACTCTCAAAGTGCTCCGGTGCAGCCTGCTGTTGGTGGGAACGTCGGCCGTGCTCTCGGCCCCGGCAGCGGCCCCCTTGCCGACACGGAGGAGGGCTCCTCGGTGAGCGCTGCGCTGTCAGCGTCCTCGGGGAGCCGAGCTGTATCACCTGAGGAGAAGACAAGGACACAAGCTGAGGTCCACAGCTATTCTGAGACTAGCAGGAGGGCTTCTCCCAGCAGCAGGATCAATATAAGCAGAGGGCCACCTCTGCCCAGCAAAGTGCTCAAAGGAGGGAGTGCTCGCAGAGTTCAGCAGCTCATAGTCAAGTATAAAGCAAGTCCTTTGCCATCTGTTCTAGTCAAAGTCACTGTCCCACCAAAACCACTTACGGTGACATCAAGTGAAATAGTGATGCCTAAAGCAGGAACCTGTTCCCATTTACCTTGCTTTCCCAGAGTACCTTGTGAACCAAGTTGGGACGGACGTGTCAGATGTGGCCCTTGTCCTTATGGCTATTACGGAGATGGTATTACTTGCAGAGGTATTACAAATCACTGTTAAGAAAGCTTTGCTGAGAAGAACCTTGAGATACCTTTATAGCTGGAAAGCATGGTGTGGCTATGTGATGAGAGAGATGCATATTGAATTTCTGTGTTTTTATTATTAACACTGGTACGGCTTTCAGTTGCATGGATGCACTTAAAAGTAAATTTCTAATGTACCTCAGCTTTCCTGCTTAAGGGCAGGGGCTGAGCGGATTCCATGTGATGTGCTAATTATGTTAGGCAAGACCCTACTTTGCTGACATGTCAGTGGCACTTTCCTTATTCCTTTCATTGTTTTCTTCATTGCCTTTCAGCAATATGTAGGCAACCATGTGGTAAAAATATGGAGTGTGTGGCACCCGATATTTGCAAATGCAAGCCTGGTTACTCTGGTTATGGCTGTCAGACTGGTGAGTATGACATTTTGATTTTGACCATGATAGCCCGTTAATGTGTTCGTGATTTGAACATCACTGTTGATTTTGTGCAGCTCTATGCAGACCTGACTGTAAAAACCATGGGAAGTGCATTAAGCCAAATGTCTGTGAATGCCTACCAGGATATAGCGGCTCCACTTGTGAGGAAGGTAAATAGGGTTTGTTTTTGTGTGTGGATCATTATTATTCTTACTTTTGATTCCAGAAATGAAGTGAGAGTGCTATTCCCAAAGCCCAAGGAGTGCTATTTATGACTCTTCTGAAGGTTCATTCTGACAGGAAAGAGTTGTGTTATATTTTACAAAACTCTGAGTAAGATTATTTGTGAACAAGGGCATTTCTTACGCTTTTGTCACTTTTTTTTTCACTGGACACTTTTACATTTTTCCTTCTCCACTTGCCCTTGTAAATGAAGCAAAATGAAGCATGGTGAATTACATTTTGCTCTCACGTGCATGTGTATGAACCATGCCTGGAATCCAGTCCATCCAACTTCAGTGCCTTGACTTGGGCATTGCTGTTTCCAAACATGCCTTGTGTGTGACCCATGGAGGATGAGGATAATGTTATGAAAGAATCTGTTCTGTCTTGAACAACCCTTTGAACTCTGTATAATTCAGTGAAGAAAACTGTCCATGTAATATAAACATGTTCTATCCATCAACTGTATAGAGAACACAAGTTGCCTTGTATGGTGAACCAACTTACTTCACTCTGAGTACAAGAAACAGCAGAGATATCAGGTCGTTTTTAGAGTTTCTGATGCAGCGTGATACCAATATCAACCTCTGTATTACAGTTATGGCAGCAATATTCACTTACTTACAAAAAGAGATCTGGATTCTTGGCCATATTAGCTGAGAGGGACAGGTCATCCTCGAGCAGTGTCCTCAGCACTATGCACTAGGCTATTTCTATGTAACAGGATATTCCTGGTAAGAGCACTTACTAGTTCTGCTGCTGCTCAAGCTATGCTGTTTTTCCAAGGGGAGCAGAAAGGCAAGAGGAAGTTCCAGCCTCTTCCAGTAAAGGGCTGCCCCTTGGCAGAGCTGGGTACCAGGCCCTGCTGCCAGGACTGTCCTTGCAGGGTCAGCTGTTATGATCTGCTCTAAAATGGTTGTGTGGCCATCTTAACTGTAATTCTGACCAACTTCTGAGCTTTTCCAGTGTTTTAGGTGGATGTAGGGTGTACATTTCCTTAAAACTGCATTGTACTAAAGGTTTCAATGAGAGAGAAGCATACATTTCCCCACCATATTTCTGATACTGTGTGGTTACACAAAGACTGGCCAAGGAAATTTTCACAATAAGTAGAGCCAAGTACTAATGGACCGTGCAGATTTCTGCTCTTTGAGGTGAACACCATGGTGCAAGTGTGTGTGGTTGCTGGAATTTGGTGGTTCTTGCTGTTCTTGAGAGAAATCAATTCATGCACCGCTATTTTCAGTTCTTTGCTTGCTTTGTCTTGGGGAGTTTTATCACTTCCCTTTTGTTAAAGCATCTTGTAGAGGTGGTTTCTTGACAACATCATTCTCTATCTACAGCACATTGTAAACCACCCTGTCAAAATGGAGGTACTTGCTTGGCCAGAAATCGCTGCACCTGCCCATACGGTTTTGTGGGACCAAGATGTGATACAAGTAAGCAGAAAGGAAAAATAAGAATACAGAATGTTTCTCCTAATCGTCAGATGTAATAAAACAAAATATGACATTTGTCTAATGCTCACGAATGAGAAAATATCCATGTCTCACTGCAGGCCCAAGAGCAGAGTTAACAAACATTAACCAGATTACCTTTCCACATGACTTTGGAAATATAGCATGCTTTAAAAAATGCAAAGAGCATTCAGCAATATGGAGGTATTGTTGAATATGAGCGATTGCCTTCAGGATAAACACATATATCTAATATGCCATTTTGGCTTCTTTAGTTCTGTCATATTTAAATGTTTGCAGAGGTACGTTCAGAAGTAAACTCTGTAAACAGCAGGTAAATAGCAGACATAAAGGGAAAATGAATTCAAGTTCACATCTATGAGACCTTTTTCTTGGCCTGGCATGAAAAACAGAAAGCTTGTTGTGATCATAGCTGAAAAATCGGAATAGTTTAGCATAATGCTCTTTTCTATGTCATATTCTAGATGTTGCATTTTGGCAATTCTGGATTTTGAGTAGGTTTCATATTACTAACTTTTATTATTCCAAGAGACTAATTTTAAGCATATTGTTTATGTCATTAATCTGAGTGTCATTACCTTTGACCCTGAATTGAAAAAGTTCATTCCGGATTCTCAGTTACTCTTATTTTGACTTCGATTGTGGCACAAAAAAAAAAATGCTGTTTTTCCTTGGTCAGAACTGAAGATGGAGTCCATCAAATCCATCGCATAATATGAATGGTCCTTTTTTTTTTTAAAAAACTCTTTGACTTAAAATTTTCCTTTTCTTGGAATATAGTTGACATTTTCTAGATTTCTAACACTAAATAAAGCCATAGACTAAAATATCAATAAAAACAGGGCTTTTCTATACTTCTACAGTCTGTTCCTGTTAGCCAGCTGGTTGCAGCTTTGAGACTGGATTAAGCTCTCCAGCAATTCTTCTTCAGCTAATGATATTGTATGTAATTTCCAGTATTCATATCTGGGAAAGAATGGGAAAATGGAATGAAGCATACAGTTGTAGCAAGTTAATATTCATTCTTTTTCTTTTCCCCCGGCTTCCTGGATGGTAGTGGTTTGCAGCAGGCACTGTGAGAACGGTGGGGAATGCCTTGCTCCAGACGTGTGCCAGTGCAAAGCCGGCTGGCACGGACCTACGTGCGGTGCAGGTAAGGCCCCACGGTCTGCGCTGGAGACCCTTGCAGGTCCATGTTACAGTTTGGAACTGCGTAGCTCAGACGTGAGCTGCTTGCTGCATGGGCCCCCACGAGCCCTTTGGTCTCCACGTCAGTTCTACTGCAAGTACCAGGCTTAGACAGTCCAGTACTGATGGCAGAACTGCATAAAAGATAAGTGTTAAGTGAATAGTGTCACCTGCAGCTGTCTTAGATGCTGAGTTCCTCTCCTTGCAAGAGAAGCAGATTTTTCCTGGCTTTGATTTGATTGTCATGGCTTCCCCTTCTTTTCCTCTCACTCCTCCTGCAGCACTGTGTGACCCGGTGTGTCTCAATGGAGGTTCCTGTACTAAGCCAGATATTTGCCTCTGTCCACATGGATTCTTTGGTGCCCAGTGTCAGATTGGTAATATTTTATTTCTCTCTTTCTCTCTTAGCTGCTGTTATGAGGACATGTGTGGGAAAACACTGTTAGCTTAAGACACACATTTAAACATTTTTAAAATTTCCCACCAAATCACATGTGTAAGAGGAAACACAAAATAAGGGTAACATTTCCCTTAGATTTTCTTACTTTGCATGCCTGGTTCACTAAATGTCTAAGGAGAAAATACACTGGAATTTTGCCTCTTTTTTTTTTTTCCTCTGTCTTCCACTCACCCTTGAGCAGTATCCAACCGTATTTGCACACTGGTGGAATTAGCAGTCAGGTCACCAGTGTCTGTGTGCAGTTACCAACACAGACACATTCCCATCTGGTTCTATATTTATAGCTGATAGGGGCACCAATCCACATTAATTCAGTTTTTACTAGACAGGTGTTCCTGCGCTGACTGTCTCTATAACAGAATTCCAATACTCGTTGCCCAGAGGTGTATGGCAAGGGGGAAGATAACTGCAAGCTACGGGGTGCTTCTCACATTTGTTGTTTTTCAGCTGTGTGCAGCCCGCCCTGTAAGAATGGTGGTCATTGCAGGAGGAACAATGTTTGTACTTGTCCTGCTGGGCACACAGGCAGAAGATGTGAAAAAAGTAAGCCCACATGAGATCCTGGAAGTTCACCACTACCTTTTATGTAAATAATGAAATTTCTTAAACAGCAAATGCCTTTTGATTTAAGGTGTCTGCGAACCAAGGTGCATGAATGGAGGACGGTGTGTAGGCCCAAATGTTTGCTCTTGTCCCTCAGGATGGAGAGGAAAAAGGTGTAACACACGTAAGTATGTTTTAGTTAAAAGGAGAATTATACCTTAAAATGATGCTTTTATATATATATAATGTAAAAACTATGTAAAAGCTTAAAAGTTATGAGGTCAAAAAGCCCTCAAAATCTAGAGGCCACATGGTAACGTAAATAATAAGTAGAAGTAATCACTTGAGATATAACCAAACTTTGTGATGCTATCTGTGCAGCCATCTGTCTTCAGAAATGTCAGAACGGTGGGGAATGTATTGGACCAAGTACGTGTCATTGCCCTCCACAGTGGGAAGGAATCCAGTGTCAAACACGTAAGACTGATGGGACCTTTATAATAAACTTTTTGCAGCAACATGATTAAGGACACAAACCACTTCACTTGTGTGCCCCACTCCTTTATGTCCTCAGTCCCCCTTATTTATGTCCTCAGCACTTCCCCCTAGAAAAGCTGCACCTTGCGGGGCTAGCAGGGAGCAGTGGTGGATAAGCGTAAGAACCTTGTGGGCTGCACATCACTTTACGTTTCCCCTTATGTTGAGGACATTGCCCTGTGAGAATATCTACCAAGGCTTCTGTTCCCAGAGTGCATATTTAGAGATTGTACCACAGTCAGCCACTTTTTTTTCACCACATTGGTTCTGTGAATACAGCCACATCTCTCTCTGTCTCTTTTAGCTGTGTGCAATCAGAAGTGTCTATTTGGAGGCCAGTGTGTGTTGCCTAACGTCTGCTCTTGTCGTCCTGGTTATACTGGAGTCCTCTGTGGGAAGAAAATTCAGGTAATTGTAGTGTCAAGGCACAGCCATAGACAGGCACTTTGAGAGTCATATCTAGTTCACCTTTGTTCCAAGAAGCAGTACCAAATATATCAAACATCTTTGTCTGATTTTGTCTGCTATTTGTAAAATGCCTAAAAGTAAGTTCAGTCGTTGCTCAGCTCTACTACTTAACAAAATCGTTTGTAATACCTAAGTTCAGTTATTTCTTTGGTTGCATAACAACCTTTTCATAACAAACATTATGCTCTTTTCCAGGGTCTTTTTTGATTTTGGGGATCAGAGTATCCTTTTGCTGATTCTCAGCTTGCATCAGGTCACACTCTGCTGTTACTCAGTTCATCTCTGTTTTGTACCATAATTCATGTTTCCAGGAATAAAACTGGGAATAGCCTAACTTTGTTTTTTCCCTTAATAGTGAATGATGAACATCGATTTGTCAGAGAATTGCTTTTAGTTAAGTATTAGTTACAACTAACTTTCCTTTGTGAAGTCTGAAGTGGGTGGTACTCCTCTCTGGTCTCCGTCATCAATTGCATTGAAATTCATTAAAATCACTTCTTAAACTTTATGGTAAAAAATGGGCCGAGGCAGCAAAGTCTTTACATTTCTTTATTTTTCCTTCCAAGGTACAAAGACATCATGGTTGAAGAAAAGCAAGTGCTTCAATTAGATTGCAATGCCGCAATGATATAAAAGACACTTGAAAATGGCAAGAGACAGCTGAAGGCAGTTGGAGAGGTTTTTTTTATATATACAAAATGGATATCCAGAAGCATCTTTTAAAAATAGTCATATTACAGGCCTGAATTTTTGAGAGCTTCCATACAACATCTTTTAGTCATTAAGTACATATGTTCTCTCATTTTTTGCTACCTCATGCACAAAAGCCACAGCTGCTGATCCTTCACTGGGCTCACAGACCTGACCCATGTAGCCAACTGTATTCTGCTCTTCCCATGGTGGGAGCAAGGCTCTAGAAAGGAAGCAGGCAGCAAGTCATCACTTGCAAATGGAAACTTCTGTTCTGGAAGCACCACCTACTTCACCACTCCTGGGCAGTGAGGAGGAAGGGGGGATTGAACTAACAACAGAGGCAAGTCCAGGTATCAGTAACAGTCACAACCACATACAAATTCTAGTTTCTCCATGGCAAACCTTTGCAGACAGCAGCTGGATTCTGACACTTGAGCTTTGCCCTTGCTTACGCTCACAAAGCTGAGCAACCGGCTGCTGAGTTTTCTGTGCCTGGAAGAGCATCTCTTTTATCCCACCAGTTTGAACTGGTATTTGGAAGGGTGAGGAAATTTAGTTCCCAAGTCTCTCAGAGAAATTTGGCAAGGATTAGCAAGAGGTCTCATGCTGAATCTTGAAGTAGGAATTAATAGGAGGAATTTTGCCGTGTATTGTGCTGTCTGTGTTCGATCAAATTAACCAAATCATCGTGAAAACCTGCTGCATAGATTCTTCCCTCTGTTGCTTCTTGCTCCAACCTGTCGTCAGCAGCTACCAGGAGCCAGGTTGTTTCTGAACTCCATGCAAGGACTGTCCTCTTCCCTTATCCTGGAGGTGCAAAAGCCATTTTGGTCCCTGCAATGACCAGCTCAACCTCCGTTAATAGGTGTGCACTTCCCTTTGACTGAGCCACTTGAGCTCACAGGCCTGGGCTTTTTCCTCTGGAGCAATAACCAATTTACAGGGACACACACATCGAGATAATTTTGCCATTTACTGCTGCTACTGTGGGATACTTGCTGCCAAATCTACGCTGTGAACCTAGATTTCTTTTCACCTTGATAGTCCTCGTAAGACATTTTGCAAAGTTGGTGTTCTTAGAGCTCAGCATCATTCTGGAATAATACCTGCTGTCATTCTTATTTTTGAGTGGTGTGGTTCAAAAATACTTTTAATTTTCTACTTGCATTTTAAGTTTCGGCTAAGCCACTGTTCCAGTAGGGTGGGTGGTGGTTGTTTTTAACCCAGCAGCTTCCTTGATCTGCTGGGAACTGCTCCTGTTATTCAAAATCTACTCCACTGACCTCAAAAAGGTTTTTGTGAACAAAAGCCGAGCACCCCTCCGGTGAGTGGTAGCTGCTGGAACTGATGCCTTGTGATGATGCCTTGAATACACAATCACAGGGTGCTGAAAATGTTTCTGAAACACAGACACACCAATGAGCTCATCTTGTATTAATCCTAGTCCAAGTGGCATTTAGCTGCACTGTTAGACAAAGTAGAGATGTGTGATAGCTGTTGGAACATTGTTAATAGTATTTTGGCTAATGAGTTTGCACAGCCCCTGGTTCACAGACAGTGTGAATCTTTGTACCTTTCCAGCATTTCAGGCGGAATAAAAGATTTTTTTTTTAAATCATGACTTTTAGCATTTCTTATTTATTTTCCCTTTTTTTTTTTTTTTGCTATTTTTTCAAACACAACCTGTGCTAAAACATCAGAGTTTTGACAGACTAGAGCTCAGTGAGAAGCTGTGCTCTACTTCAGGGAGCACAACATGAAGCAGAAAAAATACTGGTACATGCATAAAGACAATACTTCATAACTTCCTGGTAATTATGTGATTATTTGAAACTATTTTGTTACTAGTTTGTCAATCATACACATGAAATAGAATCTCTTTATTGCAATTAGAAAGCACAGTAAAATTGTTCCATTTAAGTGCACCGTAGTTAAGACACGAGAGGCTGGTGCAGAGCATCTGTGACCAGGTTAAGAAAATTTTTCTAAAATTGCAAGATATAATACGAAATCAGTCCAAGAAGTTCAGGGCTTTTGGAAGGCAGATGGGAGCATATTGCACCTGCAGTTCCAGTCTGTTGGAATGAAGGATAACTCGTGCCAAACTAAAGACCTTACAGTGATTTTTTAGCTCAAGAGAAAGGTTATGGCACCAGGAAGTGTTTTTGTAAAAACCCTTGTTGGTCTGTGTGGCTCAAGGTGTTTCCATCCGTAACAAGGGTGTTGAGTTCAAATGCTATATAAACTGGTAGCTATGGAAAAAGAGGAGAGCAAGCAGGAGGTAGAATTGATAAGCCATACACTAATAATGGTGTCTTCACCAAATTTTCTTACATGATTTCCTTGAATTTAAAATTACAATCTGGAAAATACAGTTCATCACACATTCTATATTTGGTTGCATTAAAACTGCTCTGCAGGCCAGCAATAACTCACCATGTAGTTATCGATTGGATTTTGCCTGTGCTTTTAGAAGGATTTTTAAAATACAGTATAATGAATGTTTGCTGAAGTGGTGAGTGACTTGTATCACAGAAAATATAGCAAGGGCTTTATTTACTGGGCTCATACCCATATTAGATAAGATTTTTAGAAGCATGGAACTCCCATGAAAGGCTCTTTCGTTTTACAAGGGCCAAGATATTCTCATAGCTTTGAACATTAATGACCAAACACGTTTGCTCTGTTTCTTGGGTAACAAGGTATCACGTTGGTTTATTGGTTGGTTGGTTTATTTTACTCAATTACCAACCACAGCTCAGTTTAAAAAAAAAAAAAAAAAAAAAAAAAAACACTATTAAAGAGTTTGTCACTAAAGGTTAACTTGCAGATAACTCTGTTCCTGCTGCAGCCACTGATGGTGGAAGAACAAACATCAATGGTAAAATGCACATTTCAGTAGGTTAAAAAGAAGCAGCACTTCCCACCCCCGAACATGGAACAAATAACGCTTCACAAAAGAAAAAGAAAAAAAAAACTCTCTGCAATTTTTTAGGCATTATCTTAGTGAATATCAGAGCACCTGTACAAGTTTTCACCATTACCATTAGCTCTGTAAATAAGGGATTTACCCTGTTCTATATCATGTTTCTTGGCATATCTGGAAAAGTTTGAGCTGTGCACACAACTACCGCTTCAGAGGAGGATACACCTAGTTCCAAAATGTTACATGCTGGAGCCACTAAGTGTATTCAAACTTCCCATGAGCCTGAACAAGAAAAGAACAAATTTATTTTGAGAAAAAAAAAAAAGCAAATGCATAATGACAGCTCTATTAAAAGATAGATGTGGAGTTGTAAAAGCAATCATCTGGGGGGGTGGACTCACTTTTAATACACTCTGACTCTATTCTACCTTGATATCACTTCTAAAAAAAATTGCTTTTAAATCCACCCAAAATATGTTGGAGATTTTAATTTTTCTTAAAAAAAAAAATAGTCTTCAGCCAGTAGGTGGTGCTGTATTCAAGCAGTATTTCTAAAATCCATCATCACATTCTGTGTGATCCATCCAATTGCTGCTGACTTCACTGAGATATTGGGCCTCTTTCTGTGTACTTACTTTTGTTCACTTATTCTGAAGTCTCGGGTCTGAGGCATTTCAAAAATGTCCTATTCACTTCCCTGCTATCAGTGTTTCCTCCAAAGTATTGAATACAACTTCTGAATTTCTAAATTATGGCGTGATCTCTGCAGTGAGCTGTGGACCAGACACAGAATTTCATCACCACAAAATCTACTCCAGAACTAATGATGAAACGATCTCGTTTCTTGCACAAAACCATGTTTTTCACTAGAATATACAAAACTTACAATGTATTGTAGCAAAAGCAGCACAAGAGGTACACCCCTATCCCTGGCAGCACAGCCTACGGAAGACACATCTGTGGCAGGTTGTATCTGAACCAAACACAACAGCCTTCCAAGCAAGGGCAGAGGAAAGTTTCTCAATAATAACAACGATAATTGCTTAATAATAGAGAATAGGAACCCTATAGAAGACAATAAATTCATCACAATTTAGTGCCATACAGTACAGCTTTCTTCTACCTGTAGCATGCTTATCTTCTCAACTATAGAGAAATCTGGCAAATGAGAATATTCCATTTCATTTGTTTCTTCTCAATGCTTGGTAGCACTTACTCCCTGGAGAACCATCCCCATGTCAGCTATGCTCTGCCACCGAAGGCTACACATTCTGGTAATGTAGTTTATACGTGGATGTAAGAAATCAGAATAACACATAGCCAACATTCTCACACTGAACATTACAGTTTCACCTACGAGATAACAAAAAACTCTCAAAAAATTGATCCAGGCAACACTTGGTTAAGTTAGTTGTATGGTTTGGCTTGGGTGTTTTGGCAGAACCTTCCTCAAGTCGTAGTGTTCAATGAACACAGGAGCCTTGGTCAGATCTGCAGCCTGCTCAGAGGACTGCAGAACCCCAGCGAGACCTGACCAGTGGGACGTGTCCAGCAGAAGAGCCTCAGCGTTGTCCACAGAGGTCGTTCATCACAGGCACCGGCTCCTCTTCACCACCAGGCTCCAGCCCCCACTGTTTGCCTACTGTAAAGACAAAATCTCCAAGAGGAACGAGTCATCAATGACTCCCAGAAAGGGACTGAACATATCTCCCTCTCTCCTATTACAGGGATGAGAAAAAGAAGCAAATTGGAAGTTGAGAGATGATCAGATAATATGATAGTAAAAATAGTCAACATAAGGACTCACATATCAGTATGGATTAAGCTTCTAGAAGGTAAGGGTGGACTGTCTGAACAAGTATGTTATAAGGCATAACTGATCAAGATCCAAATCTGACTAAAAGGGGCGGGAGGAGACATGTTCACAGAGTAATAACCAGATCTTTGAACACGATGCTTTGCAGTTTGCTAATGCTCCAGAAAGATGCAAGTTCTGCAAGTTTATTCTTGCAACTGTGTAATCTTACTAAAGATAAATAACACTTGAACTTACGCCCACTTCTGGTTATTTGAATTAAAGGCTTTTTTTTAATGTCTTTTTTTAAAAAGTACATCATTAATACATGAAGATAATTCTAACCAGAGGAAAAACAAACTCAGGAAGAACAGCATAGATCCATTCTGAAGTACTTTATTTGGAGAGAAAATTTTACTTCAAGGTCAGCTGTATCAACCATGACAAAAAAGTAATTCTGCTTTTGAAGGAAAATGAGAACCAAAGACAACCTGTGCAATACACTATATACACAGGAGGTATCTGGACACCCACAACACCTTGTTACAATCTGAAGAATTTTCCTTCATACAAAAGAGCATTTATTTAATCTATATGAAACAGAAAAAAGCTCCATTACATGAAATCAGTTCCCACGCTAAGTCCCCCTCCCGCCCCCCGAGTCTCGCACTCGACGTCATCCCTATGCGAGGAGCTACACGAGGAAAACGGAGCTCGTCTTTGCTGAGGCCGCTTCATTCCTTCCTTTTCTTTGTGCACTGGAGACCGGAGTAGGGCGGTCGACACCGGCACGTGTTTGGAGCTACGCACTTCCCTCCGTGCTCGCAGGGCAGCTTGCACACGGCTGAAACGAGACACGGGACACACGCGTGTGGCTCCCACCCCGCGCACGGTCCTCGCTCTGCCTCCCTGCCCAATTGTCCCTCAGCGACAGCATAAATAAAAGGCTAATGGCAGAGCTGAAATGCGATGCCTCTCAGTTTATGGCCTTGTGGCCTGCCCCCGAATACAGCAACAGTATGCCAGGTCTTATTGATGCTCCATTCCCCTCTTAA